GCCGGAAACGGCCCGGGGGCCCCTCGCCTCCCTGACCCCCGTGCCCCCCCCCCCCCCGGCCCCTGACCCCACCGACCCCGTGCTCCCCCGGCCCTGGCCTGACTCCCACAAGGCCGACCCCTGGGGCCAGGTGCAGACAAGAAGGGCAACACATCCTGGTTCTTTAAGTGGATTTGATTCTGTCCCCTTCATTGTAATGATAAAAAGCGCTCAGTCTGCCCCCAGCCCACACCTTGTTTCTGACCCACCGCAAGCCTGGGGGGCGTAGTTGGGTGTGGCCGAATCACCTCATTTACACCGGCCCATCTTCCAGGCCTCTGCATCCAAACATCCTTTTACAGGTCCCTTAGGGAAGCCGTCTCTGATTCCCTAGGAAAGGTGAGAGCCCCTTGTCACAGGCGCCCAAGTGGCCTCAGCTTCCCGTCTGGTAAAGCCTGTCACTCCTGTGATGGTTCAGGATGCTTCCATCCTGCCGTTCCACCCCAGGAACCTGGGGTTGTGAACTTGAAGGGGACCGGGCCCCGTGGCAGGAGAGATCCGGGGAGAGCCGGGTCAATCCCTTTTGCTTCTTCTCCCTAACTCCTGCCTCTCCATCCTTGGTCCGTTCAGGCGTTGCCCAGAGAAATCCGGCCACCAGCTCGCTCAGGTCTTTTTTCTTAACAAGAGCCTGGTCAGTTGTTCAAAAAAGTCACCTTCCAAGGGGGAGGGTATAGTTCAGAGGCAGAGCACATGCTTAGCATGCACGAGGTCCTGGGTTCAATCCCCAGTACCTCCTCTAAAAATAAATAAATAAATCTAATTACCGCCCCCCACAAAATAAAATAAATACATTAAAAAAAATCACCTTCTGACAAGCAAACCTTCCCCCTCTGGTAAGTCATCCAAGGTCACATGGAGCCAAGCAGCAAACCCAGAAATAGAACTCAGATCAGCGCTCCCAAGACGGCGCCAGATCTTTTCCTTAACGAATAAAGAGGAGGAACTCGGCTCAAACACCGACTCTCTAAGAATGTTAATCAAATGTGGACTGATCAGGCCTGCAGCATCCACGTGCTCCCCAGGGAGACTTTAAAGCTAATGAGCCCTTCAGGAAAGGTATGAAAAAGGAACAGGAAGATACCAGAAGCACAACCTGGATTTACGGTTAAGATGGTAAAGATGGTCTGAATTCAGGTCTAGATTGTGTCTGCCCCCCTCCCACGCCCTGAGCTGACTGCCCACAGTGGGGTCAGCCTAAGCCTGGGTCAGGATCAGCTCGTGTGCAGCCTCTCCGTGGCAGAGGGTCCAGCAAAGCTAAAAAGCAGCAGGGAACACAGATGCCTTTGGCATAACCCTGTTTCCCATTCTCGAGGGAAGCCACTTAAAAATAAGTAAAACCAACGCTGATTTCTTAGATACACAGCCGCACAGTGAGAAGGTTCAATAAGAGCCCCGTTCACAGCCGGCGGGGCCGAGGAGTGAGCGCCAGGCCGTTAGAGCTGAGAGCATTGCAGCGTCTTCCAGCAGGAGGCTGGCGTCAGTCACAGCAGGGAGGCACCGCCAGGTGCTGGGAACACGCAGCACACCTTCCGACCCGGGATGCTCCGGCACGGCGCAGCCCGCGAGGGGCGAGGGGCTGCAAACAGCTCCCACACCTGCCTCAGCCCGGGGTCTCGGAAACCTCCCTCTGCGCCAAAGTGAAGGTGAGGGAGGAGCTGTGGGCGCCTCTCCTGGGCGCGCCACTCACCCTGCCCACGCTGTGACCAGACAGCCGTGTACCTCCGAGTCTCTCAAAACGGCCCTTTCTTCCGCCAGCGGTGCCCAAGGAACACGATCGAATTATTCACAGGAAGTGAGGGAGGGAGGCGTGTTTCACCAAACCTGTTCCTGCATTTAGTGCAGGGGGAGGGTGACGCTCAGCAAAATCACTTCGCCGAGTTTTTGATCAAAAATAATTTTTGACAAGGATTTGTTTTCCTCTTCCTGGCTGTTTTTCATTACATTTTTCTCTTGACTAGTCCAGAATGTATAACTTCATCTGCAAATGGATCGCTTTACGCCAGATTAAATGATTACTGACAAATAAGTAAAGCACCCTTACCTGGGGCCGGGGAGGTGGTCTGGGACGGAACCACAACCAGGAGTGCTCACCGCAAGGTCATTTCTGGCGCAGTTCCTGCAACCTGGGAGGTGACCTCAGATACCCGGACGGCTTAGGCACACTTCTGTAAGGTTGTCACCTTTCTACATCATCAAGCAAAGTGCAGCTGACTTTTCATCATAATGAGCCTTAGAAATAGTCCAGCGTTTAGACAGACTGGAACATGGCTGTAGCAAACGGAAGACTCGGCCAGTGTGCACGGGTAGGCCTTGCTCATTCTGTTTGCATTTCTCCCAGCGCTACAATTAAGATGTTTGGCCAGAAGAAGCTTAAAGCTTAAGCGACATGCCTACCTTCCTCCAAAAGGAACTACTGCACACACCGGGAGGGGCTGAGGCTGCAGACCTCGGGTGAAGGCAGACGCCCCTCGAACTGCTCCTCTCCGAGCCGGGAGCCGCCGGGAGCAAAGGCAGCTGGTCTCGGGCTCTGCGGGAATTTTCAGAGGCGCGGAGGAAACGATTTTCCCCACGGGCGGTTTGATCAGCTGTGGCCCGTGATTCACTCGGAGGCCCAGAGACCGCCCCCGCCTACAAGTCGGTTCCGTGAGAGTTACAGGCTGCAGACTCCCAGAGTCCATGCAGTTTGAGCAGAAAACTTAGGTTTAAATCATGCAGGGTGGGAACACAGACGTCGCAGACATAAATACACGGGGTAGAGACAACCAGACCTGCCACTGCGTGGGAAACAGCACTTTCCTACGTCAAGAACGCCTCCCACGACTTGACCACCCTCACTGGAACAGTCCAGAAATGAAAGCGGCACTAATGCAAAGCCTTCCTGTTAGCAAGTAAAAGATTTAGGAGACTGTTTCTTATAAACACTTTGTTTTTACCCCGAGGCTGCTATTACCAAAGCGAGAAAGCAAAGCCACGATCAGCTGTTTTTCCTGCAGAATCTGAAAATCATTTATTCGAGGATCTGGAATAGTCTCTCCAGCCCCCCTTCCACACCCCACGTGATGACCAGAGGAAAACACGGCAAACGGTTGGTTCCAGTCTCGGGACATCCTGACAATACGATCCTCAGCTCAATCTACTGACCAAAAACAAGAGCTCTAACATCCATTAACTCTATGCTGTTGTTTTAAAAGTCGATCAACATCCGCTCTTTCTTTTTCAAGGGGAGCTGGAGAACGCTCTCAGGAATAGCGCTACATTCTCTCTTACAAGGTCCGCGTGAGCAGGGGGGCCAACAGTGAGGGTCAGCGTTCACGCAGGGTGCCTCGCAAGTTTCAGCCTCCTGCTCTTAGCCTCCTGGGGGCAGGACCTGCTTGTGTCTAACAGAGTAACAACCCCTGAAAGCTACAAAGTTATCCCATTCGAGTGATGGGAGAGGCAAACAAGTTAAATTGGAAAAAAAAGATAGCCATATTTAAGGCGGGGCTATTTTAACATTTTTTGGTATGCAAATAACAAATAAGTAGAAGAAAAAGATTTTCAAGGTCTGAAATCCTAATGTCTCTAACAGGATTTTTGTGAGCGAGCTGGGAGTGGCTGTGTGCTGTGTCTCACGAGGCAGCCTGGTGACTTTCCCGCCATCGTTTCCACTATGGCATCCTGGTGCCTCCAAAACGTGCCCTTCATCTAAACCGGCTGTCCGTCTGCACATCAGAGTCAGGAAGTCTTTGTTGTTAACTTGGACATGCCTTCCCTGTGTGCCGTGTGCCACTTAGTTTCCACGGCACAATCACGTGTATCCTGGGCTCTGCGGAGAACCTGGGGATCTGGGGCAGTTGAAGAACTACCTAATCTTGCTCCATGCTCCGTATTTGTATCATTTCTAGACGCCTGCCCAGTTCACATGCTGGAGCTGAGCCTCAGAAACGTGGGTTTTTCTTGAGAAGTTAAGTTACCCTCACTACCTTCCAGCCAAAACTAGGAGAGGATAATGGAGCGAGAATTTAGTATTAAACTGAGTTAGAAAAGGTTTTCCAAAAAAGACAGTGTTCTTTTCTTCTTTTTTTTTAGGTAGAATCATAGAAAATCTAGGTTGGAAAAGCTCTTAAAAATCCTGTGGCCAATTCCTCCACTGACACCTGGACTCCTGTGTAACATCTCTGCCAAGTTGTTGTCCAGCCTCTGCTGGAATACTTTCAGGGGCAGGAAGCTGTTCTGACATTACTTATTCCTCCTTAAAATAGAACAGCAACACAGACAGAACGGGGAAACAAACTTCCACTAAGCACGATTTATGAATTGTACCTAACTTTTCAAGAGTTAGCAGATTGTCAATTGCTACTCAAAAGAATAAACAGGATTTGTTCCAAGCATCCCATGCTTGCTGCAGTGATTCAAAGTGGGGAGATGGTGGGGAGGGTGTAGCTCAGTGGCAGAGTGTGTGCTTAGCATGCACAAGGTCCTGGGTTCAGTCCTCAGTCCCTTCATTAAAAATAAAATCATCAAGTGAGATAAAATGTAGAAGTGTGAATTTTACAACTCATTGCTGAATAGCTATGGGGGGGAGCAGATTACAATGTCTGACAATCATTGTAGGGACCTGAAACAAAGGGAAAATAAATGTTTTAAATAATAAATAAAAGTTTCACTTGGAGGTTGCAGTAAACACTCGTGCAGTCAGTCTTAGGCGAGAATTCAGGAGCTCTGGTGGGTGACGTGCAGGCTGATTCCGGGCTGTTGCGGGTGTCAGTGAGGCTGGGAGACAGGAGTGCATGGTGAGAGCGAGGCAGTCTGATGCCCGCCCGCCCGCCATCCGAGGCAGCCGGAGCAGGGCACCCGGTCTCGGCTTCATCCTTCTGCCTTGTCTGGCAGCCCTGCAAACCAGGCTCTCGTTGCTGACTTCTTCAGGAGTCAGGCTGCTCTGAGGTTTTAAACGCCCCCTTCAGAAGACCAACAAAGCCACGTGCTGATGGGTGGACAGCAGTTTCAGAATTCAATTTACAAAGGGCCGGTTCCTCTGAAGGGGAGCGTTCATGTCTGTATTTTTAGTTTTTGGACACGTATAGGAATAAGTCTATCTGGACTGAAAACACTGACCCTGAAAAGACACCCGTAAACTTCCAAGACTCAGAGTGACTCGGCTGGTTCAGTTTCGAGGGCTGTCTTCCCCGTCGGTGTCCGTCGCTAACAAACACAAGGAACAAACACGACTCGTAATGGACAAAACCAGAAAGACAAAAAACCAGCCACGGCGTCAGCGTGTCTTTTTATAGGGAGGCCACTTTTTTCTTTCTTATCTGCTTCAGAAGCATCAGCTAATTAACATTTTAGTAGCTGGAGATCAAATCCCCCTGCGGAAAAAGAACGGAATGTCCGTGACCACTGAAACGTGGAAGTGAGATCAATGGAAGTCTATTAAGTACTCAGGGTAGATCTGGTTGGCGTCAAACACCACGAAGATCCTCGGGTTCCAGGTGTCGTCCACACAGCTGTCGTACAAGTTCACGTAGCTCCCGTCTTTGGAAGGGGGGCGCATGTACTTGGAGTCCCCGTTGATGTAGTCTCCGATGAGCACACGCGCCAGGAACATGGATTTGTAGGTTCGACACAGGTGCCGCTGCTGCAGGCTGACGCCGTGAATCTGGAACGTGTTTCCGTGCTTTATGTCATCTTTGCAGAAGCGACTGGAGTAAGCAGCATCTCTGGCAAAGTACGTTCCTTAAAAAGAAAGGGCCCCGAAGAGCCAGGATTACTCCGAGGGGGACAGGTGCGACACAAGCACGAACGCCGTGATTGTCGGGGGACAGACACATGGAAGGGTGTAACGGAAGCAGATGCGGGGTCTCCTCGCCTGCAGGCTTTAACAAAACGAATAGAAATCTATCTGTTATGGCCTGCCGGGACGCAGCCTGCCCCTGGGACGGTTACTACAGACCAGTCCCCACCACCGACACCATCCCCCGTCCCCACCAAAAGGTAGCTCCCAGACTTGTGTTTCAAAAAAAAGGCTTAAAAAGAAATCCAGTAAGTAAGACAGCTGTGGACACTTTCCGTGATTAAAAGTGGCAGGTTCCGCGTTGTGACTGCTTGGACCGCGCTCCCACTGCTGTTTCCTTCCACCCCTTTCTCACCCCGCCACCCACCCTCCAAACAGCCACACCAAACGCTGGAGGGCACGGTGAAAACGTGGGTCTGCAGAGATGATTTCAAACCCCAGAAACCACATTTCTATGATGCAGGGTAACAGTTCAATAATGTTTCTGGAGATAACAGAGCCCCATGTGCAGAAGATTTCGGAAGAGAGTGCAATGTTATTCACGTCTGAACGTCCCTAAAGAACGCGCGCTCCCTGGCTCTCTGTCTAAAGACGAAAACCTGACAAAGGACCGATTCTTCTGAAATGGCAGACCCAGGAGACAGACCTCGTCAAGGGAATACTCACCCTAAAAAATTCTGGAAGTGAACTGCAAAGCCTCATATTACCCAAATCCGATGGGAATTATGTAACACCTTTCTGACCCTCTTACGGGTAACTAAGTGGGATGGTCTTTGCAGGAGTTATTTTTGAAAGTAATTCACTTTTTAAAAAATGCTGCACCTCCTGATCTGGAGTGGCAGCCAGTTCTCTTGCTGGAGGTAAGGTCCACAGTCAGGACCAGACAGTTAACTGTCCACCCTCACCTTTCCCCTCCTCTCTCTCCTTCATTGGCTTGAGTCTGGAGAAGTCGGACTTTCACAAAGTCAGGGAAAAGCAGAGGATTTCCCCCATTATCCCTTCCTGTTCTTTTATGTCCTTACCTGTCATTTTTCTAAACATCAACACAAAACAAACAAAACTGCCAGCCCCGAGGCCTGCGCACAACGCACGCAGTGATTAGTTTACTTTACAGCGCTCTGTATTTTCGACATAAAGCAGTTGGTGCACAGGCTTCTCCGTGGAAGGGACTTATCCATGGAAGTTAAACGTAATGCAGAAGTCAGCTTCCACGGGCACGCCGCCGCCCGTCAGGGGGCCCGGGACTTGGGGAGGCGCCTCGTGGGCAGAGCTGCACCAAGTCCTCCTTCCACCTGGCACCTGCGGGGAGTGGCTCCAGGAGCTCCAGGGCTGCGCGGGGACCCGGCCGGCAACTTGGAACTTAACGACTCTCAAACCCCTGGGTCACCATCAGCTCTCTCGGGAGAAGAGATTCTCTCCGAGCACCCAAACTGGACCCAGGATTCTGGGAATTATTACCTTTTCCAAAGAGAGCACCGTGAATACCGTTTATCCTCCAGTCAAAGTTATGAATGCAAATCGCTTCCACAAACTCGCTGCTGGTGCCGTGAAACAGCATTTGCTCGTTAATCTGAGGCACGCCTCTTTTTTTCTTGAGCTGAGCCTTCTTCCTGAAAACACAACACACAGACACAAAACACACAGAAATAACACTGTTACGGGGCACTATTAGTTCTTCAAGGAGCACCGCCCAGTAGGAAACAGAACACAGCTCTTTAACCTAAATCCTAAGTGGGCAAATAGCTCTGGAAAAGAAATAATCTCAAATGCTCCTGGACACGTAAATCATCTCAGCAAAAATTATTAGTTAACATTGACACTTAAGGTTGAAAATTACACCCAAAACTACCGCTATCGCAGACGATGCTCGGTCGTAGTAAAGGTGGCTGACTGCCTAAGCCAGCCAAGGTTTACAGACGTCTAAAAATGACACCACAAACCACAAATCATGCCTAGTGCCCAGGGCCTTTCAACAGTGAATTCTCTGAGCAGGGACCACGCCCTGCGTCTTGAATTTTGAGTCTCAGGGCTGGAAGGGGCATTAAGCCATCCAGTTCAACCTTCTTCCCAACAGACAAATCTCTTCCAGCACATAAAAGATATTCAATGCAGGATTTAGTGTAATGGTAAAAAAACAAATCAGCTGAAAACAGCCTAAAATGCATCGAAAAAAGAACAATTATATATTTTTACATGAAAGTTACAGTGATGAACTAGCTCTACAGGTATTAACATAGATAACTCCTGAAAAATAATGTCAAACGTAAAAAGAACGTTGCAGAAAGAGACACAGAGCTCAGGATAATAACGTTACTGTAGAGGTGTACGCACGTGGTAAAAGAAATACAAAAAGCTCATGACAAGAAGGCCTCACACCAGCCTCGGCAGGAAAGGAGGATGGCGGGGGCGGGGGGAGGGGAACACCCACCTGTAACTGTAATGCTCTGTATCTAAAAAGGCCCAGATACAAAGATGAAGAAACTGCCACAAATGTTAAAATGTCGAATCTGATGGGTAGGTACCTGGGTGTCCGTAAACTATCTGCTGCATTTTCATTTTTAACTATCTCATAAAAAAGACACTTGAGAAAGTAAAAGGCACCTGCTCCCCCGCCACCTCTGCAAATGACAGCTCTCCAGCGCCGGCTTCAGCGTGTCTGTGTCAGGCTCCGCGGGACAGCGAGCCCACCTGTGATTGGGGTGACTCGGAGTCAGCCACCCGACCCGGACACGGAAGCCACGTCCGCCCTCCTGTACTTCTCCCGGGAGGTCTTAGTTGTCCTCTCCTGCACACTGGACAATTCAATGCCCCCACACAAAACAACTCTGCAAATGCCCAGGGATCACTGTGAGTACCAGTCTGGGCTTTCTTCTCCAGGTGACAGACACCATCCCTCAGCTGTCCTTCACACAGCGCAGCTCCCAGGCCTTTCTCCACCCCAGGCGGCCTCGAGTGGAGATGAATCTGCCGGACACCTTCTTGTCTGTAAACGCCGCTAAGAAACGGGGCCCAGGTGCCGCGAGCCGGCGCAGGGCTGAGCTCGCTCTGCCCCGGGCACCTGGCTGCTGCTGACGGCTGGAGTCGACTGCAACTCCCAGGGCCTTCTCAAAGCATGCTTCTCTTGGCTTGCGAGACTGCTACAGCTGTAGATTTATTTCAATTAAGCTTTATCTTGATATAGCAATTCTAAAAGCAGAGAATTTATAAAGGACACGCAGCTTAGTGACTTTTCGGGGGAAGGAGAGTTGCCCTTAAACGAGGGGAGAAGTCGAAGCGCACACGGGCTTTCCCCAGTGTCACCTGGCAGCAGCGTCACAACTCAGACGTCTTTGCCTTCTCTGGAGACAGGCTTTTCAGACCATTAAGCATGACATCAGGGGATGTGTATGAAACAAACGCTGACTTTGGAAAAAGCCAGGATGTTTTCACAAAGAACAAGTTATGCCAACCTTCTTTTTAGACTTTCAAGTTCTGTCTGACAAGCTTTTTTGACAAGAAACATTTGTTGCTTGTCTAACCAAGAAAAAGATCTTTTTTAAAAGAAGATAACTGCATTTGTTTTGACTCACTGTTTCAACCTCCCAAGGCCTTTGTGCTCCCGGTTAGCCCGCACCGCACACCAGCCGCCCCTCTCAGTGCCGAGCCTTTCACAGGCGTGAGACGCGGGCCTCCTACACTTTCAGCCAAGTTCCTGCTGAGAACGTGGAGGGGCTCAAGGAGCAAGCAAGCCTCTGAAGCAGGTGCAGTTTACTTCACAGGAGTTACACCGCAATAAAGGTGTTAATGAAATAACATAAGAAGAAAGCACGCGTGCCATTCAAGTTTCTCTGCGTAAGACGTCTGACTGGTGCTCCTTTTCCCTTCGTCCTGCCACGCGGCCAGCCCCTCTCTCTGGCCCCATCGTGAGAGCCCTTCTCAGCCACTTGTAGAGATCCAGCTGCGTTGTCTGAGGCTCCCCCATCTACCATGGCAACCCTCATAGCTCGCTGAGTGTTAGTGGATTCATTCTGTTTTTTCCTAAGTAAACATTTGTTAATATACGTCCTTCAAATGCCGAGCTCCGTGGTTTGTAATGACTAGAATCCACTCCAAAATCAGGATTTTCACTCATCACTCAGGAACTTTTGTTTGAGAATTCCGAGTCTCTCTTAAATATTATACACGAAGTGCTGGTTAAACAGCTGGGCGTGTGGGCGCCGTCACCCTGCTCGGCCCCCATCTGGAGGCGGGTGTGGGCGCTCTGCCCCCCGCGCGGCCTGCCTGCTGTATTGTAGCGCCCGCAACACGTGGGGACGTGCATGCCATGACCTTGTTCCAGAAAGGCTAACCTTGGGGTCCAGGGCCTTTTGGACTTCAGTTAGACCTCAGGGAACAAGACAGAGTCCTCCACCACCCTGCCTGACCCCACATTCATTTCCGAACTTACTGAAAACGCTGCCACACCCGCTTCTCAGAGCCTTCAAACCACCCGCCCCCTCAGGGACCAGGCGCCCAGGGGGCCCCGCGGGGCACACCGCGCACTCCGACCGCAGTGGGGAGCACTGCCCGCCCTGGACCGCAGTAAGCCGGCCTAGGCGTGGACCAGCGGCTCCCGTCCTGGCTGAACACCAGAACCACGCACAGAAATTCGCAAAGATAAAAATGTCAGAGCGCAGAGGCTCTGACTCGGTGGACCAGGACAGGTAGGAGACGCCGCCACGTGCTAAGGGCCCCCCAGCTGAGTGTGACCTGCGGCACGTGCCCTGGGGGGCAAAATCACCCCTAGTTGAAAACCACTGCTTTGAACCCCTTCTGTGGAGTACAACCCGGTAAACTATGTTCTACATTGCACATCAGATCCATTACTCTCTTGCTTCAAGCCCTACGATGGCTGCCCACCGTCCCAGAGGAAAATCCAAACCCCTTGGTTTGCTTATAAGGGCCTGCATGGCCTGGCCTGCACCCACTCTGACCGCAACTCTGGGTCGGTCCAAGTCGAGGGAGGCTGAGGGAGATGGCCACCTGCCCGCCCCAGGGGCCCCCTGCCAGCCATGCGTGCCCTGCCTCGCGAGCGCTTCTCCAGCACCTTCCCCCAGCAGCCTACCCTCTGTTCTGTGTGAAACCCTCACTGCTCCATGTTCCCCACCTGCCATCAGACTTTGGCCCCTGCTGCTCCTGACGCCCGGGGTGCCCTCCCTCCCATTCCTGCGTCCGGCTCCATGACACCTCCTTCAGGAAACACTCTGTGACACTCCCCACCCCACAACACAGACGCTGCTCACCAGCAGGGGTGAGGGGCCCCGGCTCTGCTCACACCTGCATCTTGTGCTGCATGCCTGGCTCCCTGTCCAAGCTCTGGTCCTGGGCACACCTGTCACAAAGCTGGTGGGCAGACAGACTGCCAGACAAAGAGGGGAGGAGGAAGGCCTGGACGACGCAGACGGAGGCTGGACGGGCTCCCGTGGGCCTCCCGCCTGCTGGTGAGTCACGTGCCATGAGAGGACCGGGCCACTCTCCATCTTCAGGCAGGTGTCAAAATGACAGGCTGTCCTGAAAATGAGACTCAGTGGTTTCTGCCGTCATGGCAGGTGGCGGGTTCATTCACCATCACAGGTTTCCACAGGCCGACACTGCATAAAACCAGGCACGGCGCCCACAGAGTAGAACCATTTCCAGTGACGTCCTTAGTACACACTGTTCTAGGGGATTCACTGGAACACTGCTACCATGTGGGTCTCCAATTATGAGAGAGACTGGTAGGAATTCCACTTCAGAGGCCTGATTAAGAATAAGGAATTAAGTTTCATCAGAACCTTTTAGCGAAACTTACTTTATTCACTGAGAGAATAAAACCAAAGAAGAGGGAGGCCCCCATCTTCCTCTACAAAAGAATCACCCAAATAAGAACTAAATAAAACCTGCACTCAGGCCCAGGACTGTCAGAAGTAAAAGTGGGCTTGGCCCAAGGATTCAAAACTACCAAGAATACAAGCTGAAAACCAGTATTTTATAATATAAGCCAGTATGAGAATAAAACCTGGAATTTACTCAGGCCACAGGAGCCGACCAACCAGAAGAGTGAAAGAACTCCACACATCAGTACCAGACAGAAGTCGGCCGATTTTCAAGTATCTGAGGACAAAACGAGTTAAGGCCTGGCATCTGCTTTAAAACACTTCAGCAGCAGCAACAACATAGCAAGAAAAGAGAGACAGACCATGACGGTAAATCTGGATCAGCGTCAAGTCAGGATCATGGATACGTGGGGGTTCATTATATCAGATTCTAGTATTCGAAATCCCCAACTGAATATTCAATGTCTGTTTGTATTAAAAAACATTAGAAATCAAATCTCGAACACAAATTTAATAAAAATGTTTCAGAAAACCACTTATTTTAAGTAATGCTTGTTATTAAAAACATACAGCATGACAGGTTAATTTGGACAACACCTGTAAGTTTCTTGCAATGGGCTTTATTTTCAGCAATCCAATGGGTCATTTCCAACCTAAACTGAGTAATGAATCGAGATTTTAAATCTACAACATAAACTCTGGGCTAAGCAGGAAAGCTGAAAATGTGTTTCACAATGGCCTTCAAAACTGAACAAGCAGATGGCTTACAGGAGGCAAGTCTGAGCCAACAAGGTCACATCGACACAGCTGAAGCGCTCCCCAGGCCCCCTGTGATGCTGGGTTCAGCCTAACCCTTGGCAGGCGAGTGGGAGGGACTGCCATCACAGCGTGTGTGTGC